AGGAGGAGGAGGAGGAGGAGGGGGAGGAGGAGGAGGAGGAGGAGGAGGAGGAGGAGGAGGAGGAGGAGGAGGAGGAGGAGGGGGAGGAAGACAAGCTGGGTGCGCTCGCGTCATATCTGACGTCCTGCCCCTCCCTCCCATCCCTTATTATGGCGCTGATTTTCTCTATCCGCGGACGCGTGTCGTAGCGGACCTGTGGCTCCGCGCGCGCGTGCGTAGTGGGTGGTGGTACGCGTGCGTGCGTGCGTGCGTGTGTGCGTGGTTGTGGTGGTGTGGTGGTGGTGGTGGTGGTGGTGGTGGTGGTGGTGGTGGTGGTGGTGCTGGTGGTGCTGGTGGTGGTGCTGGTGCTGGTGGTGGTTGTGATGGTGGTGGTGGTGGTGGTGGTGTGTGATGGTGGTGGTGGTGGTGGTGGTGGTGGTGGTGGTGGTGCGGCGCGGTGGTGGCGGGCGGATGGGCGCGCGAGAAAGAGGCCCGCGCTGGGGCGAGAACGTCATCCTGAACGACGGAGGCCAAACACCCATCCGAAAATGAGGCCCACGCTGCAGCGGGAGCACGATTCGGAACGATTCGGGAGCAGAAATGAGGCCGGCGCCTCAGCGAGAGCAGTATTTTGAAAAAAACGCAGGCGAAAACCCGTTTCCTGGGAATCCTCTGTAAGAAAAACAGTACGCGGGTGGGGGTCGGCCATCTTCGGGACGCCATCAGGGGAAGTGGGAGAGTATTTTCATATTGTGTAATTGTGGAGGAGGAGGAGGAGGAGGAGAAGGAGGGAGGATGGGGAGGGGAGGGGGAGGGAGGGAGGGGAGGAGGGCAGGGGGAGGGGGGAGAGGCGGAGGAGGGGAGGAGGAGGAGGAGGAGGAGGGAGGAGGAGGAGGAGGAGGAGGAGGAGGAGGAGGGGAGGAGGAGAGGGGGAGGGGGAGGAGGGGGGGGGGGAGGAGGAGGGGCAGGGAGGGGGAGGGGAGGGGAGGGGAGGGGAGAGGGAGGAGGGGGAGGAGGCGGAAGAGGAAGACACCCAAGCCCCCATGAGGCCGCGGCCGCGTGCGCCTCCCCAACCTAACACAACGTTTTCGTGGCCCCGCGGGGAGCTCCACCGCGAAGACCCTCGTGGGAAGGTCCGCATGCGTCGACCCCAACCCAAGACATGATCGCGTCGAACAGAAACCAGGCTCAGGAGGAAAAGCTGGTCCTGGGGAACGGGCCAGGACTTCCAGGGGCCCCGTATTAAAACAAATCAGAGTGTCGCATGTCTGGGGGGGGCGGGCCTGGACTCGGCGACGCGTCACCTCCTCGACCGGCCCTCCCCGGCCCCAGGAGGGGCCCACCCCTCCGAAGGGCAGTCCCCCGAGAGGTGGCCCCGCGCGAGGGGGGCATGTTCCGGAGGGGTGGCCCGCTCCTGGGGAGGTCCTGGGGGGGAGGCGCAGGTCTGGACTCGGCGATGCGTCGCCCGTAGATCGACGGTGCAGTCGGCCCGTATCACGAGGATGCGCGACAAGGATGGCAAGGGGCCGTGGACGCCCATTCCGAAGCTTTTCGAGCGGAGCGCGGCCAACGAAAGTGGCCAAGGATGGACAGATGAGGCAAGGGGTGCAAGCCCAGACATGCGATTTTTTCAGGACGGGGTCCCTGGACGTCCCGACCCTTTCCCCAGAACCAGTTTTCTATCCTGAGTCGTTTTTTGACGGTCCCGAGGCGCGGAGAGGGCCCCCCGAGGCAGAAAATGGCCAAGAACCTCCCGTCCTGCTCAGAGTGAGGGGGCTGAACCGAACGGTCATACACTGTCCCTGGGTGCGTGGCTGAAGTGGAATTTCGCGATGCGGATTATTATTGTTGTTGTTGTTGCTATTGTTGTTTGCTGTTGTTTGTTGTTGTCGTCGTCCCACCCGCGACCCGCCCCACGACCCACCCGCGACCCACCCGCGACCCACCCCGCGACCCACCCGCGACCCGCCCGCGACCCACCCCGCGACCCACCCAAAATGTTCGGCGCCTGCGGCGGGCTTCTTTTGCATTCATTTCAGGTGGAGAACCTGCGACCCACCCGCGACCCAAACCGCGTTCAGTGTACAAATCAAAATTTTCGGCGCCTGCGGCGGGCTGTTTTTGAATTCCTTCCAGGTGGAGGTGGAGAGCCCGCGACCCACCCGCGACCCAAAGTACATTCACTGAACAAGCCAAAACTTCGGCGCCTGCGGCGCTGTTTCTGCATTCGTCACGTCACCCTGCCGCGTCGCCCGCGCCCGCCCCCTCACTCTCATCCGCAATTGCGGGGTGCTACGTATTGTACGACGCGATCATGTCTGGGAGGGTACCCCTGGGAAGGATGTCCCCATCCTCATCACGCGGGTTGGCCGCAGGCTCCCGATAGCGCAGCCGCGCGCTCCCTGGGCGGGGGGGGGGCTGAGCATCGAGCCCCCCTCGGCGATGAGTGGGCGTTTGGGGTTGGGCGTGGCTTCGCGTTGGGGTTTGGGCGTGGGCGTTTGGGGGTGGGGTTTGGCTTCGCGTTGGGCGATGAGTGGGGTTTGGGGTTGGGCGTTTGGGGGTGGGCGTTTGGGGTTGGGCGTTTGGGGTTGGGGTTGGGGTCAAAGAATGGGGGGTCAGAAACGGTCCCCTTTCATTCCCCTTTCGGACCCCTCCGGAGCCCCAGGGGGCTCGTTTGGGTACCGTTTGGGTACCTCTTCGGACCACCCTCGCCACCCCCCCCATTTATGACCCCCATTACGCGACGCTCGATGGGGGGGTTGCGCAGTTCCCCCGGAGCCTGTCCAACCCCCAACAGTAAGCCTCCTGGCCAGGCCCTCACAGTTTTCGGGACGTAGCTCACGGCTCCCCATTGTGCCGTTCGGGGGCGGATCGACACGCCATCCAAATGTTCCCGACTGTAATCTCACCAGCCCTCTGGGCGCAGGTGGTCTAGAGCATCTCCTTTTTTAACCTCCTGCCTTCCCTTTTTGGGGGGAGGGTTGCCTCCCCCCCCCCTCCCTGGGCCTGGACGGGAGTGGGCGCGAGTGGCTGGAGCGTCCAAGATGGCCCAAGATGGCTTCAAGAGCACCTCCGAGAGCCAAAGGTGGCCTCCAAGATGGCTCAATATAGGCTAGATTGAGCCATCTCGAACCATGTTCGGCCATATTAGATAGCCGAACATGGTTCAAGATGGCCTCCGACATACCTCCAAGAGGCCCCAAGACGGTTTCAAGTGTCCTCCGAGCCATCCAAGGATCACCCCGAGAGGCCCAAACCGCATCAACACCTAAGGAAAAGCACAGCTTTTCCCCCACCATCCTGTAGTGGTGGGTCCTTGTTTTGAAGAGGCAGCGCTCCGCGTCTCATCCTCCTCTCCTCTCCTCCGCCCTCCTCCTACTACATCATCATGATTTCGGCACGCCCCTCACAGGGTTCGTGGCCCATGGCGAGCTCCAACGCACGCCCCAGTGTCAGGGTCCACAAGCGTCCCCCCAACCCAATGCAGCGCTTCGTGGCCCCAACAGGAGCTCCACCGACGGCCCCACTGGCAAGGTCCACAAGCGTCTCCCCCACCCGGTGCAGCACTTCGTGGCCCCATACGGAGCTCCACCGATGGGCCCAAGCGGAAGGGTCCACATGCGCTGCATGGACAATCGGGAGCTCCACCGAAGCCACCATGAGGCCGCGGCCGCATGCGTCTCCACCACGGAACACAAAATTTCGTGGCCCCGCAGGGAGCTCCACCAAAGACCATCGTGGGAACTTCCGCATGCACCGACCCCATCCAGTACGCCGTTTCGCGGCCCACAAGGGGCTCCACACATTACGGCGCACCCCATCCCACTCTTCGTGACCTCATACGGAGCTCGACCGAAACTGGTACCTGCAATGCGATGCTCACAGCTACATATGGTTGGGTCATTCGCCTGGATAGTTGAACTCTTTTTTGTTTCGCCTCGGATGGGCCTCCGAAGCGTCAAGAATGCCAAACAATTGCCCCAGACAGAATCAAGAAGGGGCCAACAAGGCCCCAAGATGGCGCATCGAGCGCCCAAGAGGCGCCCAAGAGCTCCCCGAGAGGGACCCAAGAGGCGGCTTTGAGAACTCTGAGAAGGGGGCGCTGGTTTTAGCCGCCCTCTTTTTCCAATCAATGGGGCCGGAGATGGCCTTACGAAGGCGCCACAATCCGCCCCCTCCCCCCCAAACAAAAAATAATCCTCCAGAGGACGCTCAGAGGGCCAAAACGGATCCCCAAATTGTTCCACGATGCCTTCAGGATGACTTCAAGAGGCCGCCGAGAAGGCTCGAGGGGCGAAGGAGCCGCGAAGGCTTTGTAAGTTCCATCTCGGGCGTCCTGGCGGCTCCTGGCGGCCTGTTGCGAATGTCGCCGGGCAGCTTGGACATCCATGTCCAAATCATCTGGCAAGGGCCGCCTCCCTCCTCCCGCAAACTCGTCCTTCCCCTCCGCCCTTCGTAATTCCTAACTCGACTGGGCAACGATTGTCAGGAGCGGCCAAGAGGGGGGTGTCCAAGAGGGGGGGGTGCAAATCATGACCGGCGGCATGTGCGCGGCCCAGCGGGGGGGCCAGGGACGTAATGAAATAAGAAGATGCGCCATGAAATCTGGGGAAATATCATGGCCCACGCCATGATATCCCCCACCCCCTAGTCATCACCCCCCTCTTTTCCGCCCCCGAGATTGCACGACCACTCCAGCCCCGAGGCTGCCTGGGCCGATCCAAAACTTTCGGTTCGACCGTTCCCTGGAGCTCGTCCTTCCGCCGCCTGCTCCCCCACTTCGATGACCAAACAACACGGAGTCCCTGGAAGTCCCGACACCTCCCCCCAGGACTGGTTTTTCATCCTGAACCGATTTCTGACGGCCCCGCGGCCCGGCGAGGGCCCCCCCGAGGCCAAAATTGGCAAAGAACGTCCCGCCACGATTGTTTTTTTTGGGGGGGCGACGAGGCCATGTCTGGGGTTACCCTTGCCCCCTGCGCTCCACGCGTGCGCCAGCGCCGCGAAGGCCTGGTCCACGGTCAGGATCTCGCAGGAGGGCAGGGCGCCCAGGGCGGCGGCGCACTCCTGCAGCGGCAGCCGCCGCGCCTCCGCGCCCAGGCCGCCCGCGCGCGCCAGCGACACCCGGCGCACGCGGCCGACGTCGACGATGCCGCCGATGAGGTCCGCGGAGCCCCGCTTTGGGCTCGAGGCGTGCGGGGGCGAAGCGCGCCCTCTCTGAGCAGGCCCCAAAACCCTGACAAGCGGGAGGCCTCGTCCGAAGCCGCGGGCCCTCGGGCGGAGGAGGAAGAGGGGGAGGAGGGAGGAGGGGGGAGGAGAGGGGAGGAGGGGAGGGGAAGGAGGAGGAGGGGGAAGAATCTTCCCATCTCCCGCCACCTCCTTCTCCTCCTCCTCCTCCTTCGCCTCCGCCTCCTCCTCCCCCGCCCCCGCTCCCTGGACAACAGTGGACATGCCAGCGATGAGAGGGGGAGGTGGGAGAGGAAGAGGAGTGGAAGGAGAGGGAGAATAGGAGGAGGAGGAGGAGGAGGAGGAGGAGCAAGAGGAGGAGGAGAAGGAGGAGGAGGAGGGAGGAGGAGGAGGAGGAGGAGTAGGAGGAAAAGGAGGAGATTGACTGACTGACACACGGCTTTTGAACAATGATGTACTGAAAGGCTTTCTCATTCAATGTATGTGCACATGCTCACGTTATGCTAGCTGGGAGCCGACGGTTCCGCGCGCAGTCCCAGCCGACCCCCTGAGGACCGACGGTCCCGCGCCCAATCCTAGCCGATCCCCAAGGGAGCCGACGGTCCGCGCGCAGCCCCAGTCGAGCCCCTGGGAGCCGACGGTCCCGCGCCCAGTCCCAGCCGACCCCCAAGGGAGCCGACGGTCCCGCGCCCAGTCCCAGCGGACCCCGTGAGGACCGACGGTCCGCGCGCAGCCCCATCCGACCCTTTGTTGCACGCGCCGGCGCGCGAGGAGAAAGGGCGAGCGCAGGGACCGAGGCGGGGCCCCGTCGACGAGGGGACCGAACGAGGCCCGAGAGCACCACCGACGAGGGCCGAGGGCCACGAGCGGGTGGCGAGAGAGAGAGGCAAAGGGGGAGCGAGACGGGCCATACAAAATCTGCAACAATTGATCACATCTTCGCCGCCCCCATCCTGGAAGTGGTTCACCTTCTGCCAGGTGCGCGAGGCTGCGCTGCCCGAAGCTCGATGGCTCCGAGCGGAGTGCTGCGCACACGTCCGAAGGGATCAATCACTAGTCGCATCATTGTCTGCAGCAGGAGATAGGTCCAAGAAGCTGTCACTGTAGGAGCTGAAGCCGCCGCTATCGTCTGTGATGCTCACCACACCCGCATTGTCGGCAACATTCAGGGCGTCGAACTCCGCCGCTATCCCTTCAGGACATCGGACCACGCCGAAACATCCTCTTCCATGTAGCCCGAGGGGGGCCATCCCCTCCGTCACCTGAGCGCCCATCGCGCGGAAGGCCTCGAGGATCCGCATCTCCTTGATCTCGTCGTCCAGGGCGAACACAACTTCGATCCTGCCCTCTTGCTTGCAGCTCTCCAAACGGCAGCGACGGACATCTCGACGCGGCTCGCCCACCGCGGCACCCATCCCCGCACTCGCCCCCCTGGCGCCGCACCCCTGGCCTCCCGCGCGCCCCCTGGGGGGGCCCACCATGCGAAGCAGCGAGCGGCACGCGGCCCCGTGGGCCTGGGCGAGACGCAGACTGGGGGCAGGCAGGCCGGCGAGGCCGCTCGGTGCGGCTCTGCACCGCCTGGCGTGCGCAGCCGGGACGCAGCAGAGGGCCCTCTGCAAAGGCGTCGCGGTGCAGGCGAGGGCGATGCGAGCAGCGTCGGGCGCGACGCTGACGATCACACGACGACGAACGGCACTGAGGTGAAGCCCTACGCTCAGGCACCCAGCCGCCGAAGGCTAAAGTTCTCTCAACGCCTGGCGGAGTGCAAAAACATCGTCGTCGAGGTCCCCGAGCGCGACCAGTTGGACCACTGGCACCACTCGCACGACCAACACGACCACCAGCACGTGGTCGACGACTGCCACTACGACCACGTTGCAACGCCGCACGGCAACCTCCGTCTGCCCGCAATCCTCCCGGCGCCAGGCCAGGCGGCGGCGGCCAGGGCCAAATGCTGAGCTGCGAGGGCCAAAGGCTGAGCTGCGATGGCCAAATGCTGAGCTGCGAGGGCCAAAGGCTGAGCTGCGAGGGCCAAAGGCTGAGCTGCAAAGGCCACGGGCAGAGCTGCGAGAGGCACCCGCAGGGCGACGAGGGCCCCCAGCCGACCTGCGCCTGCCACTGGCCGAGCTGCGAGGGCCCACTGCCCGAGCCACACAGGGCCACGGGCAGACCTTCGTACCAGCAGGGCCACCCGCAGAGCAACGAGAACCACCAGCAGAGCCACGAGGGCCACGGGCTGAGCTGCCAGGTTCACCAGCGTAGCTACGAGGGCCATCAGCTGACTTACGACGACGAAAACGACCCGCTGAGCTGCACCAACCTGCACTCCCAGGGAAGCAACCAGGGCCCCGAGGGCCATCGGCTGAGCTACGAGGGCCTCCGGCGGAGCTACGATGGCCACACACTGAGCCACAGAGGCAGGGCTCCAGGAGCCACCAGCAGAGCTACCAGAGCCACCAGTTGTCCCACGATGGCCACAAGATGCGTGCGTTTCGGCGACCACAAAAAACGCTACGAGAACCACCAGCGGAGCTACAAAGGCCAGAAGCTGAGCAACGAGAGCCAGCGGCAGAGCTACGAGGGTCACAAGCTATGAGAACCACCGAGGACCACCAGCTGAGCTACCACGGGCACCTGCTGAACTACGGGGGCCGCAAGCTGAGCTACGAGGGCCACCATCTGAGCTACGAGGGCAACCAGCTGAGCTACGAGGTGTACGAAGGCCACCAGCTGAGCGCCGGGACGAACAAGATCGTCAGCTCCAGCAGGGTCTGGCCGTCAAGACCATCGGCCTCAAACCGAACAACTGCCAGAATGGTCTCGACGGTACCCTGGGCGCAATGGGCGCTACCTCAAAACCAGTGTGCATTTCGATCCGGAGCGTTAACCTCAGCGTCCAGGAGGCCAATGCAGAGCGCATCGGTGCGTGGCCCAAACTTTCGATTGCCGCGGAATTTCACGAGACAGCATTCATGTTCCAGGACACAGACGATATATTGAAATGCAAAATATTTCAGCAGCTTTACGACGTGGTCGCGTCGGAGCCACATTCTGGTGTCCACAACCTTCCTCGAAACACTTTCGCTGATGAGGGCCGGTTCGACGCTTTCTACGGACAGGCTACCGCGATCATACGATTATACCACGGCGTGTGCGACAGGTACATGAGCTCCACATTCCGTTGACAACGCTACAGACAATCACATTACATGTAGATCACTGCATACAAGAGACCTGCGCCATCCGCATTACCGCTGCAGCCACGCATGACGGGGCTGGCCTGTACCCCTGCAGCTGTACCTGTAGTCCGGGGGGGGTACTTGTAGTCCGGGGGGGTTACCTGTAGTCCAGGGGGGGTACCTGTAGTCCGGGGGGGGGGGTACCTGTAGTCCGGGGGACGGGTACTTGTAGTCCGGGGGGTACCTGTAGTCCGGGGCCCCAAAACTATAGAGGGACGCAGAGTACGCGGCCCTCTCGGCCGCCACCTTGGCCCAGCGGCCCCGCGTGAGGGTGAGGAAACCCCAGGCGACGTCCACGGGCGCCTCCTTCGACATGGCATCCGGCCCAGCACTGCGATCCTCCTCCCCCCTGCCGCCGCAGCTCGGCTCGGCGAGTCCCCTGGGCTGGGCGCCGCGGCGCCCGCCCTGCACGGGCGCCCGCCGCCGCGGCGGCGAAGGCACACGCCCGCACCACCAGGGGCGACCTGATTCCGACCGATGGGTTTGGGGCGAGCTTCAGCGGTAATGTGCGTATCTGCTACACTTACAGTGGTACGGGATGGATCTATCCCCCCCCCCGGACTACAGGTACCTCCCTAGCCCCCGGAACTACAAGCCCCCCCGCGTTCGCTACGTAGTCTCTGGAAGCCAAAGCGGCCCGCCAAGATGCGTCCGCACATTTTCACTTAGGCGTGCTAAGAAATTCGCCATCGTTGGGCCAGCGGTCGGGGCTGAGCACTCTCGACGGACGAGTCGGCACGGAAACGAGAAGATAACGAGGAACGGAACGATACATCTACAAAGAAACAGAACAATAAGCAGGGGAACGGACGAACAATGAGAGAGAGAGAGAGAGGAAGAGAAACACAACAGAAGTACCCCCCCCCGGACTACAGGTACCCCCCCCCTGGACTACAAGTCCCCCCCCCCAGACTACAGGTACCCCCCCTGGACTACAAGTGCGCCCCCCCGGACTATAGGTACCCCCTCCCGGACTACAGGTACCCCCAAAACTATTGAGGGACACAGAGTACCTCACAGGCTCCGAGATCCGTCACGGCCACGGCTACGCCAGCACATTGAAGGCGAGATCGGTCAACGTCACCTGCGAGGGCAAGGACGCCGCGGAGGCAAGGACTCGCCGAGTCAAGCTGCGGCGGCGGATTGCAGTGCTTTGCCTGATGCCTCATGCGTGCGCGTGTGTCTGCATGCTGCCTCGCCGCCTCGCCGTCCTGGTTCAGACTATCAGGAGGCAGAGCGCGGGGCGCGCTCGTGGAAGGAGATAGCTGCAGGGATAGATAGGTCATCGAGTAGACGGGCACCAGGGTGTGCCTGTGGCACTAGGGTGTGCCTCGTGAGTTTGGGAATTGCAGGGGGAGTAGGAGGAGGAGGAGGAAAAGGGGAGGAGGAATCGGGTTGTTGGGGACAAACCGAAAGCCAGGGTGATCTCCAGGGTCTAACAAAATCTGACGTGTCTGAATCCGTCTCCTCCCCAAGGGGGGGCGGAAGACGAGTCAGCGCCTCCCCCCGAGCCTTCACCCAGGGGAGGCTTTGGGAGGATGGGGAGGGGAAGAGGCAAGACTTCTATACGCGCAGGCCCATGCGGGCGCTGCATGGCATCGGGAGGCTGCTGGCTGATGACAGGACGGCCAGGAGCGCCAGCTGTCCGTGGGGCTGCGTCCACGTAACGTTGCCGCAGCCAAGGGGCTCTGCCCTGCGGGCGCTCCTCCGACGTGTCGGACGGCACCGCCCCCATCACACGAGCGGAGCGGGTCCTTGCAGACAGTCTTCTCGCACGCGCGGCGGAGGCGCCTCTCGTGAACGTGGAAGCCCAGAAGAGCGCATAACGCAGCAAACCTGCCACTGCAAGGACCTCCCCCCCCCATCACAAACAGCGTGGAGCTCGCAGCGAGCATCAGGGCGACCGGGCGTGGCCTCACGCAGCGCATGGAAATACAACACTTGCTGTGCAGGTGGTGCTACCGCCCAAACCTATCCCGGCAGGGGGCAGTAGCGTCTGCTCCTGCGTTAGCCCTTTGGCGCCAATGGCGCCTCCTTGGACACCACTGCAGCGACCGCAGGCAACTCTGGCCAGCGTGGCAATCAAGTCACCAGTCGAACGCCTCGGCGCTGCCGAGCTGCTGGATGGAGTGGGCGGTACTGCCACACCACGATACGAAGAAGACGCACTAGCACTATGTGCCGCCCTTGGAGGCGCACTTCCGAACCGGACATGTAGCACGAACACATCGCAGTACACCAACACCCGGCAGGTGCAGCCAGAAGGCGCCCTCCACTGAACGTACATAACATGACACTTAGGAGAGCGCGCGCCGCCCATAGGATCCGACGCACGCATCGTAGAAGTATGCTTCGGCGATGCCAAAGGGCAGTGACACGTGTGGAGGCTGATGCAATGGAAGCGATGGGATTGGCGCCGACGCAGCCCCCCCTGTCCTCGCCTGGGCCTCTTATCGTTTACACGCAAGGGCGACCGCTGGTGAGCGGCTTTCGGGGGCCGTAGGGTGGTCAAACCCAACCGCACAGGCCAAGTGCTTGGGGGAAGGGTCGTTTCGTCGACGGGCCACTTCGGCGAAGGGGGTCACTCTCACGCGTAGCCGAACTTGCTGCACATTGCGCCCGGCAACCTGGGCTCCGCGCGGTCGAGGTATGCGGGGAGTTTGGATCCGACCGAGCTGCCCGGGCAGAAACCGCCTGGATCTGTGCCTGCGAGCCTTTGATGCTCTCGACGGCGCGCTCACGCTTAGCCCAGGAGGCGAGTGCGAGGAGACAGAGCGGCGGGAAAGAGGGGCACGAATGAGGACGGGGAAGAGATGATCAGGAAAAGCTAGAGCAAGATATAGATCAGACTGAGCAGGGTGCGAAGGGGGAGACCGGACGCGCGGGTGTCCCCTCCCCTCGCAAGAAGAGCCGCCTGGGCCTCCAGAGGTCTCTGGATACCTCGTCAAGGCTCCGCAGGCCGCACGAGGCTCTGGGTGGCTGCAAAAGCCTCGATCCTCGATCCCCGCCTCCAGGAGCGAGGCGGGAGGGCGCCAGCCCGCAGGCTAGGTCGCGTCCTCCTGCAGCCTGCCGAGAGGCTCCTCCGCGTCCGGCGAGAGCACCACCAGCCTCTCGCGCAGCGCCCCCGGCGGTGCCTCGGCGACGTCTGGCAGCAGCGGTACAGGCCAGGTGGGAAAGTCCTGCATCGTCGCCGGCGTCCTCGTCTGCATCCCCGTCCTCGGCGTCGTCGCCATCGCCGTCCTGCTCGTCCTCTTCGTCGGCCTCCTCGGAAGCGCGAGAGACGTGTCATCTGGAAAGAAACGCTCGGCAGAACACATCTGAGAGGGAGGGGCGCGCCTCGACGAAAATGGCCCCAGTGGTATGCCTCACGGCTCTACGGATGGCACGCAGCGTGGGCAGGGGGATAATACATCAAAAAAACAACTACGTATGATCCCGCAACCACCCGTGCCAGGACGTGCAAGGCGAAACCTAAGATCAATACGTGTATATATATATATATGTGTGTATATGTATGTATGTATATGTATATATATATATATATATAGCACGAACATCTGTTTCGGGCAACGCCGTGCAACATGTGACTGTACATCGACGAAATCTTGCACCACTTGGTGCCCGCGACATCAGACGTCGGTGTGCAATCGACGTTTCGTCCTCGCTGCCCCCACGCCACCAATTCAATCTTGGCTACGGGCCGGAATCGCCGAAACAGCTCGGTGGTGCAACATTATGTCGGGTGCCTGGGAGACCCGAAGGAACTCATTCTCGCATGCCCACAATATTGAATTGGAAGGGTGATGGGGGGAGAAGGGTTGAAACATGCGTGCGAAAAACAACGCAACATGGTGCAACATTTTGTCGATGTGCGGTCTGGAGTTGCCCCCGCGTGAGCGACAGCTCTGCCAATCACATGGTTTGGGGCAGAACAACTTACATGCTAGCCCAGCTGGGCATCCGGCCCAGGGTTGAGGGCTGGTGAGGGGAAGATACACTCCTTTCTGGTGTATCATCGCCCGTAGTTGGTGCAATGATCCCGCATCCACCCGCGCCTGGACTCGCAAATCGAAACCAACGATCTGTCACGATCAGTTGTTCGGGGCCGCAGCGCGCACAATGTTATGGGGCTCGGCGGCTGGGCGCACCAACGAGCCGTCAGGCAACTTCAGCGACGCATTGCAACGAAGGGGCGGGATCTTAACATTAACAACAAGCAAGATATTATCAACACCTGGATTCACAATCACACCTGTGCTACGGAGTGTACGCTCATAGCCTGGGTAAGCCGGGAAACGCTTCGGACGCATATTCCTCGCTCAGGTGGCACAAAAAAGACGACGCCCAACAAAATCACAAGGGCGCGGGATAGGCTGGGAGCCGTCAAGTGCGAACATGTCCTTCCGCATTAATTCCGATAGGTTGAATATGTATGCGACCAGTGCCTGAGAAGCGGCAAATGTGCACTTTCCGCTGCGAGGTGCTGAGCAAAGAATTACCAGAACCTGATGGCGGGCCCCTTCTTGGGTGAGGTTGGGGCGATCACGCATGGGCCCGACTCCGCGCAACTCGCTGGGCGCTGAACACATATCCTGGAGGATCCAAACTTTTTGCAGCTGTGAATCACGCAATTGTGGGCGTCGTCCTCGATGAGCCTCTCCATGGGCCTACGCCGCGTGTGACGGGCGTCCCGCAACCCGGGGGGCCACGGGTGCCGCGGGCGGCGCCACGCCAAATCTGCAAGGCGCCGTCCCGCGCGAGGTGGGCCACGTCCGCCGGGGCCGTCCAAAAAAACTTGGGGCGGTTGGCCACCGCCATGCCTGGAAAAGCGCCTCCCAGCCCAGGTGAACCCCTGAACTCTGCAGTGTCCGCACCGTTTCCACGGAGCTCCTCCGCGCAAGTATCGCCATCTGGAGGCAGCACAACCAAAGTGCCGTGCTCTTGCTCAAGCTGCGAGAATGAATCATTCGTGCCGCAGCTCTCGCCCTGGCATGTCGTACATGGCCAATACCGCCTCGCCTAGCGCCTCCATGCCTCTATCTGACGAGGGCGAGCTGCTTCAGCGCGAGTTCACGGGTGTCGTCCTATTCTCTGTTGCTGGCCGAGACTTCCCTGAATATGGACGATGACAGACAACGCAGCGACGCCAACACGAACAGGCAATATGAGAACCACCGTCACGCCAGAGACGAAGCCCACGGCGCCCGCGGTCCAAGAAGACCACGCGCTGAAAGGCTGTGCAATCGGGCGCGTGAACGTCGGGCAGGTAATGTTTATCACGGGGGGTCGAGCAGGGCACAGCACGGCACATGACCGAAGCAGTCAGAGCACGGCGAGCACTTCTGCGTACCCAGGTGGCAATCGAAACTGATATTTGGGCGGCCCACGCGACCATGAGAACAGACTGTAACCATAGCTTCATGTTACGGTACTCCTTACTGTTCACACTGTGTTATCATAGCTCGTGGCCATTGCAACGCACAATCGTTCGACAATCCGCGCGGATGTCTCGGTTCTGCGATGGTCCCTCCTCCCTGGCGCGCGGAAGGCGCCAAGGGGCGGCGCCAGAGGCGCCGCCAGGGGGCTCCAGCGCCGATCGGGGAAGTCCTCGCGGAACTCCGAAAGTCTATGCATGCAGTTGCAAGGGCTCCTAAGTTCGCGCTTCGCGCTGCGCGAAGCGCGAAGCGCGAATAACTTCGCGCTCTCGCGCAGCCCCCCAAGGGGGAGAAGAGGAGGACGAGGAGGAGGGGGAGGAGGAACGAGGACCGCGAAGCGCGAAGCGCGAATAACTTCGCGCCCTCGAGGGAGCCCTTACAGTTGTTTCTTCTGCGAGCGGGCGTAGAAGCGCGCGTGGCCTGGGGAGGACTGGGGAGTGCCAGATCAACTAGAGGCCTCCCCGATGGGGTCCGAGCAGATGGGGTCGGAGGATCCCGTCGCATCGCCAGTACATCGGCGATGCATCGCCGAAGCATCGGCGATGCATCCGCGATGTCGGCGGCGTATCGGTGCTTTTGGAGGGGAGAAAATCGGGCTCCACATCGAACCGCATCGCCGATGCATTGGCGATGCGGCGCGATCCTGCGACCCCATCTACTCGGACCCCATCTGGGAGGCCTAGATCAACACCACCAGACCACGCGATCCGCCCCGCCGCACAACTCAAACACCTGGGCCGACGGGGTGACGCAGAAACTATATCCCCAAGGGTAAAGCTTGCCCGAGTGAGAAGCTGGACGGCCCACAGGTCGCGGCCTCTACACGAGCGGGAAGGGAGAGAAGGGAACAGTGGGAAAGGGATGGGGGTGGGCGGGAAAGGGGGGGAACCCAGACATGCGCTGTCCTGATTTTTCAATGCGGGGGCCCTGGAATTCCCGACCCCTTCCCCGGGACCGGCTCTTCATCCTCAGCCCTCTCTTGACGGGCCCGAGGCCCGGCGAGGGCCCCCCCGAGGCCGCGACGTGGGCCCAGATCCGCTCGTCATCCTGATATATTTGTTTTGCCGCGACGCGAGATCTCACGCCTGGGGTCTGGAGAGGCTGGCCCGACGAGAACTTCGAGGCGCGCCTGCGGGACAAAACCCAGACGGGGCCGCGGCGCGCCGCGCCCCCGGGCCGGGTCGGGCGAAAGGGGGGGATAGCAAAGGGGGGGTTTGAGGATCAGCTCACATAGCCGATTTTCCCGGCGCCTCCCGGCGCCGGAGGCGGCTATGCATTGAGGAATGGGCCCCTCGGTGAGGCCGAAACCAGCTGCATGCAGCAAATTTCGTAACCCCCCCTTTCTCAATCCCCCCCTTTCGCCCGGCCGACCTCGTTCGGCACGCCGTGCGAGGCGCGGCGGGCGGCCGCGGAGGGGCGCGGCGGCCGCGCGGCGCGCCGACCGCGGCTCGGCGCGGGGGGCCGAGGCCGCGCTCGTCGCGCGCGCCTGCGGGGGGCCCTTTGGGGTCTCCTTCCGTGGGCCGGGGGCCGACCGCCCCGGTGCTCCTATAATTACAGGGCAGTTTTTAACGCGTAGGATGTTTCAAACATATGGGATTTCTCATACATGGTCAATGTGTGAATACATCTATGCATGAACCCATCGTTGTTTTTAATACTACACCCTGCATGTTTAAGTCATGATCCGCACGCGGAGCATGTATTGAAAACGGCCCTATATGCTGCTCCCATCGTACTCACAGGGGCCACGTCCCAGAAATCATTGCGAGCATCCAGAACAACGTCGAAGCAGTGTTCGGATGAGTGTCGCCTCGCAGGGCCCGACACGGGAAATTCTCAGGTTTCGGTACTTTCTTGGTGCTCGAAACTGTTTTCTAGTGATGAAGGCTAAAGTAGGTTGGAACATCATAACCCTCTACGCATACCTCGAAGTTCTCTCAGAGCCGTGAAATCCTCTGACCCCAGACACGATCGCGTCGTAAAACCATCTCAGCACGGGATGTGTTTGGCCATTTTCGGCCTCGGGGGGCCTTCGCCGGGCCTCCCTCGGGAGCGCACCTCGCATGGAGAAAATCAGGTCGTCGCATGCCTGGATGCTGACCAAACGCCGATGCTCTTACAGTCAACCAGTATAGTAAGGATGCGCGATAAGGATGCAAGGGCCTTGGACGCCCATTTCGAAGCTTTTCGAGCGGGGCGCGGCCAGCGAAAGCGGCGAAGGATGGACCGACGAGGCTAGGATGCAAGGGCAGCCTTGGGAAGGTTGCCCATCCTTACTATGCGGGTTGACTGTATCGCGCGAGACCGACAACTGAGAGCAAGGCTGCCTCCGCCAGCATGCCTTGGAAACTGTGCTGGGCCGCTTCGTCACCGCTGGGCTCCTGCATGCGCTGTAGCACCTGCAGCATCTCTGGGGTGCAACCCGCCAGCGCCAGCCGCAGCGGCCGCGGCTCGACCTCGCCCTCCAGCCGCCGCAGCGACGCGGCGTAGCACAGGCACACCTGCAGCGCCAGCGAGCGCAGGCTTCCGGGCCCCATGATGTCGCCGAAGCTGAGGTCGATAACCACGTCCGCGGGGCCGGGCCTCCGCCACAGGACGACACTTTAGATCTGTGTGGGGCGGCTCTGGCAGAGCACGTCTCGTGGCTAGGGGTGAGGGGCGAGGGTGAGGGTAGGGATCGAGGCTGGGGGTGAGGGTCGGGATTCAGCTGGGCAAGGGGGATGAGGATTACCGGGCTGCGCGTGTGGGCGCCATCGTGCCGTGCGACAGCGTAACAAGGAAGCATCTGCTGAAGAACCGGGCCCAATGCTGGGTTCGAAGCCCGCCGCCATCCCCGTCACCCGACGCCGTGGTATGGTGAGACTCCACGAGGCAGGATGCCAGAGCGTGACTCATCGAGCCGAACCGGCCTTCGAAGGACCAACACTGCCTAAGAGCAACAATTCCGGGTGCACGCGTCGGGCAACTACTCAATGCTAACTGCCGCTCCCCGGGACCATGCTTTATGAACCTGTGGCGCTCCGCGCGGACTTCTTGGATCTACGCTGGACCCCCCTCTCTGGCGCGCGGAGCGCGCCGGGGACGGCGCCAGAGGCGCCGCCTAGGGGGGGGGGGCCAGCGCGGATCCGAGAAATCCGCGCGGAGCGCCAGAAGTTTATGTTTATGTCGATTGTTCTTCTTCGAGCCAATTGGATCATGGTCTAGGTCGGGCACGTCCACCTACAAGCCGCTTCTGGGCGAAAAATTCAAAATAGTAGAACAATGCTCCAAAATAGTGAGAACAGAATCAAAACATCGCTCCCTGACTGTTTTTCTACTATTTCTGAATTTTCCTCCTGTAGAGGGACGCGCCCGACTTAAACTCCCGGCCTGCTTCCCGATGCGCGCGGGCGCCCCCGCCGGGGACCGAGGCGGGGGCCGATCCGTGCCCGCCGGGGTGGTGCGCGCCCCCCGATCTGCGGGGCCCGGCCGCGCCTCCGCAGCACCTCGCGCGAGTCGCGCTTCCACCGCTCCGCCTCGGCCGGGCCGGGCGGGAGGCTGGCGGCGCGCAGGAGGGCCCAGGCAGGGTCGCGTCGTTCAAACATCAGGGCGGCAAGGTTTTGGCCATTGTCGGCCTCGGGTGGGGCCCTCGCCGGGCCTCGGGACCGTCAGACGAGGACTCGGGATGAAGAGGCGGTCCTGGGGAAAGGGCCGGGACTCCCACGGACCCCGTGATGATAAAATCAGGACAGCGCATGTTTGGGGGGTGCAGTCCACCCGCATCATAAGGGTGCTCGATACGGATGCAAGGGCTCTGGGCGACCATGTCGAAGCTTTTCGAGCGGGGCGCGGCCACCGAAAGTGGCGAAGGATGGATCCGGGAGGCAAGCAGCCTTGGGAAGGTTGCCCATCCTCACTATGCGGGTTGACTGCAGCGCGAGGGGGGCAGCCTTCTAAGAAGGCGGGGGGGGCTTCTGAGGAGGCAGGGGCCTCCTCAGAAGCCCCCCGCTGCCCTGGCTCCCGAGGGGCCTTGTCAAGAAGTCTCCAGGCCCTTCCTGCGCAGGCCCCTGCTCGGGAGCTCGGGGCCGCCGAGCGAACGCACCACATCATCGGAGGCCTGGGGCCAAGAGACGCCCACCCCAGGGGCAGACAGAGGAAGACACGCCCGAACCAAGCAAACGCCACCAACTTACATATATCATGTGTTGGCTCCCAGCGACCGCCAGTTCCGGGGGGGAGGCACCGACCTGGAATCGGCGATACGTCGCCAATAGATCGGCAACAGTGCGGGACGGGAAAACTACCACAGCCACTGCTTCTTGTTTGCGCCGCCTTCCAGCCGGCCGAAAGAGAAGCAGTGGTTGTGGTCATTTTCTTGGTGCCAAGCTCAACGAAAACGACCACAACAACTGCTTTGTTTCTGCGGGCTGGAAGGCGGCAACAAAAGAAAACCAGTGGCCGTGGTCGTTTTCACGCCCCGTAGCCAATAGATCGGCAACGGGGCCCCGGTAGCGAATCCGCACGCTCCCCGGCGTGGTGGGCTATGGGGCCCCCTGTTGGCCAGGAGTGGACGAACGGGGGTCGACGCCTCCTCCCTGAGCCCTTGCCCCCCCCCCCTAAGCGCGCTGCCCCTGGCGAGAGGCGACCCCGCTTCCCTTTTTGTCGGAGCGGCCGCGGCGGCCGTGGAAAGAAAGAAAGGAAGCGACGGCCATGGCCAGGACTGCATGCGGAGACGTCGCTGGCCACCTCGATCATCAGCCGTCTTGCGCATGGTCGATTCCTGGACCCCCCATCGCGAAACGGCGACGGCTGGCATCGATCATGACAGAAGATCGGCGTCGAGAAGACCGCGCTAAGTGCCGTTTAACCAGTGCCCACCCTCAGCGGCGTGGCCTGGGCACGCCGCTGGCTGGCTTACCCCCCTAGATGGGGATGTAGGCCGCTCCCTCCGGGCTTCGAGGGGTGTATCCCCAACTGGCGTGGTACTGTGGTGGGGGTCTCGAAGGTGATGGGGACGGGGATGGGGGTCGGTCGAACGACACCGACGCGCGGCGACGTCTTGGCTGTGCCCAAGCGTGCGACAGAAGGGCTGCATTAGCAGCGCCCGCCCCCCCCCCCGAGGCTGGAGGCCTGGGGCCCTGGGGCCGTCTTCCCATGCCCGATTCGTCTTCTGCCCGAGGATGAGGAGAGGAGGATAGGAGGGGAGGAGGAGGGAGAAGGAGATGGAGGAGGACAGCGAGGGAGGTGCGAGGAGGGAGGGGAGGGAGGAGGAGGGATGAGGAGGAGGAGGAGGAGGATGAGGAGGAGGAGGAGGGGAGGATGGGATGTGAGGATAGGAGGAGAGGTGGAGGAAGAGGAGGAGGAGGAGGGGAGGGGGGAGGAGGGAGGGGGAGTGGAGTGAGGAGGAGGCAGGGGGGGAGGGAAAGGAGGGAGGAGGAGCAGGAGGAGGAGGGAGGAGGAGGGGGGAGGGTGGGGGAGGGGAGAAAAAAATGAGGGAAAGGGGGGAGGGGTGGAGGGAGGGGGGGGGGGCGGAGGGAGAGGGAGGGTAGAGGGGGGGAGAGAAGAGGGAGGAGGAGGATGGAGGAGGAGGGAGGAAGGAGGAGAGCGAGGAGGAGGGAGGATCATTGAGGAGTATGAGGAGTTAACATGATTATGGCCATTGTGTGCGGGTGAGGGCCCCAGGAGGCCGCGAGTGACCTACAACCTCCGGTCGTGAGTTCTTCAGGACGCGAACAGCGAACAGCGGCCAGGAAGAGCTCGGTGAGGCGAGGCTCGGTCGGGCTGAGCTCGGCCGGCGGGCCTCTGCCAGGCCGAGCTCGGTCACGTTGAACTCGGCCCGGGCCGACTCCAGCCTACCATTAGGCCGGGCGTGTGGCCTCTTACAGGCGGATTTGGGGGGAAAAATAGTAAAAAGCCCAAACACACTCAAACAGAGCAAAACAAACATAGAGAACATGGTCCCCAGACTATGTTTTACTATTTTTTGATATTCCTCCTGTAGAGGGACGTGCTCGACTTTTAAGCCTACCAGGTCCATCTGGCCGAGTGCAGCCTGGCCGAATGTCGCAAGGCCCGGTCTTTAGAAGAGGAAGAGAGAAAGAGGAAAGGAGAAAGAGAAAAAAGAGTGAGAAAAGAGAAAGAAGAAAAAACGGAAAGAGAAGAAGAAGAAAAAGAAGAAAATGAAAGAAATAAAAGAGAGAAATGCGAAGGAAGAAAGGAAGAAACGAAAAGAAAAGAGCATGAGAAGAGGAAAAGGGAAAAGGTAAAGGAGGGGGGGAGAGGGGGGGAGTGGGCATTCACCCCGAATGGATATGGGGTTCCCCGAATAGCTGGGGCTAGAAACATTCCGCCCGTGTCGCTGGTTTGCATTGGCGCCGCATCGCCGGGTCTGTCGGCGAGGCCACGGTCGGAAGCTATGCGAATGCTTGCAAAATCCGCCGCTGCTGAGACGGTCTTCCCGGAAGAATAAACGGATTCCCTGCAATCAAGCTCAGTCGGGAGACTCTCCTTTTCCATTTGTGGTGGGGGGTGTCCCAATGGGGGAGCAGGAGGTGGATCCCCCCCATGCTGCCCCCTCCACCTGGCCCCCCATGGGATCCCAAGGGGATCCTATGGGATCCCCCCCCCTGGGATCCTATCCCCCCATGGGATCCCCCCCCATGAAGAGTCTCCCGACTCAGCGCACTGAGTAGCAAACAGGCTGCTTCCCGGAAGAAACAACAGTTTCCCCGAGCTCCCTTCTAGCAGCCACGGGTCTGCCCGCCTCGGCCCGGCTTTTCTGACGCGGGCGCCGTCGGCGGGGAGAGCGCTGGGCTCTCCGCATCGAGCCGCCTCGCCGAGGCCTCGGCGAGGAGGCTCGATCCCTCGACCTCCTCCTCCTCCTCCTCCTCCTCCTCCTCCCTCCTCCTCCTCCTCCTCCCCCTCCCCCCCTCCTCAGCCTCCTCCAGCCACCCACCTCCTCCTCCACCTCCTCCTCCTCCTTCGACCTCATCTACTCTGACTACCTGCCAGACCACCCCAGCCCAACCCGAAGACCCGAATTTGGGGTTGGGGGGGGGTTCGGGTTCCACGCGTGTTTTCTCGACGTTTCCCGACCCCCCCCCCTACTAGAAATCGAGGGTAAATCTGAGCCTTCGGGTTGGGTTGGGGTGGTTTGGTGGGTGGTGATACTCGGACCCCATCTGGGAGGCCCTGAGTTGATCACCCTTGTCTCAAAAGTCCTTCTTCCTTTCGAGCGCATGCCGCCGCTGTGTCGCCGGGCGCGGGCTTCTCCCTGCAGACTGAGAGAAGCTAGCCGCTCCAGGTCTTCTAGAACACCCCCCCGGATAGTGGAAACTAACTATAGCCTTTCGACGCCCTTGTTGACGGACTGGGGTCCCGCCAATAATGTAACATTCGCCTGCCCAACGGGCCAGAAGCGTGCTAAAATCTCCGGCAGGAGTTTAAGCATGTTTCTAGTTCGCGCGCCTGTGGCGGCCCCTGGGGGACCCCCGACGAAGAGCACCCGGGCAAGGTCCAGGCAAGGTCCTGGCAAGTCCCGGCAAAATCGGGTCAAAGATGCCGGAACTCCTGGGCGCGGCCTCGGGGGCCCCCCGAGCACCCCAATAAGACGCCAAAAGGGCTCAGGCCAAGAGCTTTCCTAGATGGCCCACGCTGGTCCCAAGACGGCCCAAGAAGCACCCAAGACGCTCCAGGAGGATTCCAAGAGGATATCGAGAGGCTCCGAAGACGCCAGAATCATTGAGTTGCCTTGGATTTCCGACGATTTTGGCGGTACCGCATTTTCGAGCTGCCGACCGCCCTGGACTGCCCAAGAGTCCCAAAGATCGCTCCAAGACGGCAAAACAACTTCCAAAAGGGTCCCAAATGGCCCAAGATGGCCCTACGACGGCCCAAGGGGCCTCCAAGACGGCCCCATGATGGCCACAAGAGGTGGCCCAGAGGAGGAACTCGAACAGACATTTCGAGACAGACCCGAAGCTTCCCAGGGGTCCCCAAGAGCCCCCCAAGAGGTCCCCAAAGAGGCACCCAAGACTCCCAACAGGCCCCGAGGCAGCCCCAAGAGGCCCCCAAGAACCCCCCGATAAGCTCTCCAGAGGCCTCAAAACTGCTCAGCAGAATCTCCCTCCGAAGAGTCCCCATCCATGAGGACTTTGACCCGCAACCCAAGCACGTGACGAAACTCTGCTGGAGCTCTCTTGAGCAGTCTTGGCGCCCGATCGGCTCTCTTAGACTGGGTGCGAGCCACATCTCCAAAAATCTCCTCGAAGACCGTTCTGCCTGCCCTACCGTTCCCCCTGGGCACGAGCACGCCACCACGCAGCCACAATTTTGCGAAATAGGCCGGCGGAGTGAGAGAAGCGATAGATAATTATCAATCCGCGACACCCGCCGCGCAACAACGACGACGACGACTACGATTACCACTAGGCCTACGACCACGATGCGATGCGACTACGGAGGAGGAGGGACGGAGTGTATTCACCCCCGAGAGAAACAGGGGGAGATCCTGAAAACTAAGGACCTCCTGAGGTAA